ACTTAAGGTTTTTTTTACATATATCTCAGTTTAAGATTCTTGCCTAAAAATGAATCTTGACTTCTGGCAAGGTTTTTATAACTTTTTTCCTGATTGAAACTTCGGTAACCAAAGTGTCTTTAAACAGCGCTACCAAATATTGTAACAGATAGAGTCAGTCAGAATGGCATACACTAATGGAGAAAAGTAACTGCACCCCCAAAAATTGATACCAATTCTAATGATTTCGAGCTGATATGGAGGTGGGGATGAGTAGGTGTGAGTATGGGTGTGGGTGTGGGTGTCGGATTAAGTGTGTGGCTGTGGGCGTGGGTGAAGATCTTTGCATCTCACGCTACGCCCAAATCCACACCACCCACACCCACGCCCACACTCTCATCACGAAATTCTTCTCGATATTGTTTATGAGTTGTAAGTCTAATAAAATTTTCGTTTATTTTTTAATTAAAACCAAATATCTAACCTTTTAAAGAATGCTTCAGTACATTCAATTGGATTACATTTAGTATCCTCAATTAATTTCAAAATAAATTGAATAATAAGTGCTTGATTACTAACACGTGCCATACCGACATAATCCTAAAGAAAAAATTTTTTTGAATGAATTTCAAACAAATAAAAAACATATTTACGTCATCCATTCCAATATTGATCGACCAACGAACTAAATAATCAAATGCTTGTTGACAAACTAATAAAATTTTTTCTTCAAGAATTTGTTGTGATTTATCAAAATCAAGACATTTTTCATATTTTTCAAGATTTAATTCATTTTGTTGAACATATGGATTCTAATAACAAAAGTCAAATGAAATCATTTGAATAAATTATTAAAAATACAAACATCTTTATCTAAATCTTCATTATAAACTTTATTAAATCCTACAAAAAAATCTAGATTATGTGATAGTAAAATATTTTCTGCCTACCGTAATTTTTGTATTGAATTACAAATGAAGCTTTAGCATTTTCACTAATAAAATCGACTAATATCATCAACTTTTTCTTTTGATCATTATTTTCATCAAAAACGTTTTTTCTTTGTGCTTCTTCACATACTCGGCCTAACATGATCTGAAACGGAAAGTTTATAATTCATAAAAAATTGTAGTTTATGATTTACTTTTTCGGATAAAGGATCGATTGGTTCTTTCGGTTTTTCGGCCATTTTTTTCGAACAGGTAATGTTCAATGTGTGTGTATAAATATGTGTTTACTATGACGACGAGAGAATTTTCACGCGTCTATGATAGCGAAGAATGAGAGGCCTATTTATTTTTTCATTATTTTATCTGAAGAATTAAATGAAATCAATTTCAGTATGTCCTCTACGCATATTAAGTAGTTGTCCTGCGTGTTTTTTCTTTTCTTTTCTATCATTTATAAATTATTGTTCTATGAAAAACAAACATACTAAATGGATTTTAACAAGAACAGCTTTATGAATTTCTAATGGTTCGGAAAGACCCTTCGCATTTTCAGCTGCAACACGAAATTCATATTCATGCTCTTCTTATAATTTTTCTATTGTTACTTTTGCACTATTAACAGTCTCAGCACAACGTACCCAATCACTACTGTTCTTATCTCGTTTTTCAACAAGATAATTTCTATAAAAATTATTTATTTCATTTGATAAATCATTCAATTAATTTCTTACGTAATTTCTTTTCCACCATTATCTGTTGATGGTAATCAAGAAAGTGTAACACTCGATTTTGTAACTCCTTTAACTTCTAATGAACTACGTGGTATTGATGGTGGGCCAAGAACAATAACTTCACAATCACCAGTTTCTTCACTAGAATCATTAACTAAACGAATTAAATATCGACCTGTATCAGCTCGAATAGATGTTGTAATAATAAGTTTAGCTAATTTATCACTGTACGTCATTCGTGTACGATCTTCAGATATAAGTTTCTTAAAAAATAATCAAATAAATAAAGAAAAAAAATTCGAATATACAGTTGAATCTCGTTCCCAAGTCATTGTTGGTAATGGTTCAGGGTTTGGGTGTGGGTGTGAATGTGTTTAATGAAGAGAAGATTCACACTCACACCCCTAGTCTATTTATTAATTCAGAAATCTTTTTCTTTATGGTGCTTGTTGGATTTTTCTACTTTTTCAAATAGTGATTCATCATTTAATTTGTCTTGAATTTTAGTGATATATTCGGTTTGCTCCATTACTACTGTTTTACCACCTTTGTCTGTTGATACTATAAGGATTTCTTTCATGCTTTTTAATTCTTTTATGACATTACATTCTTCGTTATTCATATTATCAACTTTTGGTCTTTTTCATTTATTAATGGATGTTGTTATTTCGGATATTGCTATTTGTTTTATTATATTCGGTGTTGTTTTCAATGAACTTTCTGAGTTAGCTATTATGTTTACTACATCAATTGATTTTGGTTTTGGTACAAATTGTAAACCTTTTGCAAGCACTTCTTATTATTTTTTGGTTAATATTCTTTTAGATTTACTTATTACGTTCGTGATGTCTATTTTATTATATTTTCCACTATATGTTGCTGGTATATCACGATTTTGTATTAATTTATTTAATTTCTTTTTATGTTTCTCTTCCATTTACTTTTTCTTATTTTTGTTGTCTTTATTAATCCAACTCAGATCATTATTGTGTTGGCGATTAGGTTGAATATTGTTCATAAATATGTTTAGGATATTTTCTTGTGTGGTAATATTTATTTGGATGACTCTCTTTTGTTTGTGTCGCCAGTTCAACGTGTTGTTTCGTATTTTCATCATAGCTGTTTTCAATAGATGTTTTTTTTTTGCTAATATTTGTGGTATTATTTAAACGCATTCCATGTTGAATGATTTTATTTTGTTTGCATTTCTTTAGGAACTGGATATGTTGTTGAATCTTCGAAATTTTTGGCATAATTTCTCCAAGTTCCCAGCGATGGTGTATACTCTCTCTCCATAGAGGTGTTTGAAATCTTTTTTATCTAAACAAGGTCATTATGTTTTTTAATTATTTATATTTAATGTAATTTTAAAATATTCTCTTTCTTCTGATCGGTCTTTATATTTATTTATTGACTTTCTTTGTTTTCTACTTACATTTCAGCAACGATGTTGCCTTCATCAGACTATTTTAGTTTCATATCTATACACATCTATACATACATTCGCACTTAGATGTATTTTTCTTTTTAGTTTTCTGATTATTTTTTGTATAGATTTAAAATATGACAGTATGATAGAGACAGAAGACAAATAGTCGATAACTCCTACAAGTATGATCGTCTTGCCCTCCGACTATCATATTTTAAAACGAAAAAGAATAAGAAAACTAAAAAGAAAAAGAAAAATACGTGTACGTGTAAATGTATGTACAGATGTTTATAGATATGAAAATAAAATAGTCTGATGAAGGCAACATCGTTGCCGAAACGTAACTGGAAAACAAGGAAAATAAATAAATAAATAAATAGATATAAAGACCGACTATGAGGAAGAGAATATTTAAAAATTACATTAAACATAAATAATTTAAAAACATAATGATCTTCCTTAAATAAAAAAAGAATTAAATTTAAAATACAACTGTATAAGAGATTCCAATTAAGTAAAGTTTATTATGAATCATGATAAACAAAATTATTAACTATTAAAGTTTATTCGAATCAAATAATGCGATGATCTTATTTATAAATATTAAAATGTCAAGAAATTCAGTATTCTTTCAGAATCTGATCATACGAAGACAAGTAATGCATATCAGACCAATG